CTGTGTATTCTGTAAAAGAAGAGGTATAAACGTTTCTATCTCCAGGATCTGAGCAGCCTCCTCCATTAAAATGTTGTCATACTTGAAACCTAACTTGACTAAATCATGTCGTTTTAAGGCCGCATGAGTACAGGTCATGGCAATGATTTTGGCTTCTTTCATCAAAAGGTATTTAGATCTAGGTAATTAGACCTAAAGGTATTTAGTCCAGTCCACTTCAAAGCAGTTTAGAGGCCCTGAATTCCTCAAGCTGAGAAAAGAGTTTCTTAATATGCCTGAAACATACATCCTTCATTTCCATGTCTTCTTCATAAGACCGACCTTTAAAAATGGGTTGAGGAGCATTTGCAAAGTACTCATGAAAAGGGAAGCCGCGCCGAACTTCAACTCCAGCGAGTTTGGGGGCCGAGCACGTGGGAGGGACCCCGGGACGGGACGTTTCTCACGTAGGAAGGGAGGAAGGGCGATCCGAGAGGAAGTGGCCGGAAGGGGGTGTGCCGAGCCTCCTCGCTCCAGCTCGCCCTCTGTGGACCTTCCCAGCCACCTGGGAGCCGCTTCAAAATGTGCGCCCCCGTGTGTTGCACGTGGAAGGAGGTGCTTCAGACTCTGGCTTCCATGAGGCCCTGCAGACCCTGCGGGAGTGGCCCGAAGCCTCCAGCCTGGTCCCCTTACCGAGCGGAGACAGGCCCAGAGAGGGCAGTGGTCTGCCCAAGGTCACACAGCTGGTGCTTGCTGGGGCTTCCTAGGAGGCCTCCCAGCTCTCAGCCAGGGGTTCTGTGCGCCCCACCCCGCAGCTTGGCAAGTGAGCGGGGACAGCACACCCGAGGTTACCCCCAAATGGGAAGGCGGCGGATGGAGCTCCTGATTTCCTTTGGAGCTCACGGCTCCCTGTGCCCACAGCTGGGCGCCCACGTGGAGGGCAGAGTCCAGGTGTGCTCTCTGCGCTGGTCCCGCCCCTGAAAATCCAGGGGGCAGGGCCTAAGCCCCCAAGGCCAGCTCAGCCTCAGGCTCTTCCTGAGACACTGCAGTTCCTTTCCTGTTGAGCCTGGAGGTCGGGCTCCTGTCTGTCCCAGGACCCACATTCCTCGGGGCTTTCGTATGAGAGGGGCCTCATCCCCCCGTCCCTCCGTCCCTCGGTCCCTCCATCAGCTGGTGGGAGCTTTGCGCACCCTTTGTGTCTCCTGCCAGGCGCTGGAGCTGGTGACCGTGGTGGTGGGCAGCCGCCGGGCAGACGGCCTTGTCTCCCTCCTCACCACCTCTGAGGGCGCTGACGAGCCCAAGCGGCTGCAGTTTCCTTTGCCCACAGCCCAGCGGTCCCTGGAGCCTGGCACCCCCCGATGGGCCAACTATGTCAAGGGAGTGATTCAGCACTACCCAGGTATGGGGCCCGGGCCAGGGTCAAGTTCAGCAGCCAAGAGCACCACCTCTCAGCCATAAAACCCGTTAGCGCACCTCGTCCACTGTGGGGTGGGCTTGCAGGATAGAGCATCCCATTGTACAGATGAAGAAACTGACACCCTGAGCGGGTCCAGACCTTGCCCTGGGTTGCCCAGTACCTGATTGGAGGAGTCAGGAGTCAAACCCTAACCTGTGGCCTCCGGAGCCCTAGACCAGGAGGACTGGGAAGACGGTGTCCCAGGAACCTCAGGGTGGAAGGATGGACGGCCGTGGGCCCCTTGGCCCAGCAGGTTGGTGGCCTCTGACAATTGAGACCCATTCCTGGAAGCAGGCACCAGGCCTCACGTCATACCGAGATACAGTACGTGCCTCCCTGTGCCCATCCTCCCAGATGGCGCCACTGATCCTCACCCATTGTTTCCCCCGCAGCCGCCCCCCTCCCTGGCTTCAGCGCGGTGGTGGTCAGCTCAGTGCCTCTGGGGGGTGGGCTGTCCAGCTCGGCCGCCCTGGAAGTGGCCACGTACACCTTCCTGCAGCAGCTCTGCCCAGGTACCTCCCAGAACCCAGCTCCCACCCAGCCTGCCTTCCCTGAGCTCTCCTGTGGTCGGCTTCTGTGGCTCTCAGAGGGGGTGGGAACCCACCTGCCCCTTGTGCCCCCTCTTGGGCCCCAGCCTTCCCATCTCACCCTGCGCCACAGACTCGGGGACAATAGCTGCCCGGGCCCAGGTGTGCCAGCGGGCCGAACACAGCTTCGCAGGGGTGCCCTGTGGCATTATGGACCAACTCATCTCTCTGCTGGCGCAGAGGGACCATGCGCTGCTCATCGACTGCAGGTTAGGGGCTCCCCTTGCACCCCCCCACTTCTGGGCAGAGCACATCCACTGTGGAGCCTGGTGGGCAGACACTTGGCCTGGTCATCTCCCCACTCCACCTGCCTCCCAGGTCCCTGGAGACACGCCTGGTGCCACTGTCAGACCCCAGGCTGGCTGTGCTCATCACCAACTCCAACGTCCGCCACTCACTGGGCTCCAGCGAGTACCCGCTGCGGCGCCGCCAGTGTGAGGAAGTGGCCCGGGCGCTGGGCAAGGAGAGCCTCCGGGAGGTGCAGATGGAGGAGCTGGAGGGTGAGAGCTGGCCGGGTGTGGTCTGTCCAGGAGATAGCGGACCCCCTGCCGGGGCTGCCGGGGGGCCTCATCCCCAGGACCCCGGCCGTGCCTGCCCACTCCCTGAACACTGTTAACTTCGGCTCCGACCCCAGCAGGGCTGCTTGCAATCTTAGTACCGTTGTTCCTAATGGGAGGACTGTAGACAAGGACAAAGAATAAGCACTCAGGCCACTGCCCGGAGATAGAATATTTCCTCCCAGTGTTGGATATGAGCACCCACTGTGTGCCAGGCGCCCTGCCAGGAGCTCTGCAGGTGTCAGCCCCCCTGGTCCTGGCGCCCCGAATCGGGTGGGTGCCCACTACACAGCTGAGGGGAGGCGCTGGGAGCTTAGTGACCAGCCCATGGTTCTACCACGGCCTGGCCAGAGCCAGGCCTCCCACCGGAGGCTCCCCCACCACCTGGGGCCATGGTGCTGTCCCCCATGTCCGCACGGGCCCTCGCCAGTGGGTGGTGGGTCTGCTGACCCCGTTCCTCTCCAGCGGGCAGAGAGCTGGTGAGCAAGGAGGGCTTCCGGCGGGCGCGGCACGTCGTGGGGGAGATCAGGCGCACGGCCCAGGCAGCGGCTGCCCTCAGCCGGGGTGACTACAGAGCCTTCGGCCGCCTCATGGTGGAGAGTCACCACTCCCTCAGGTGAGGCCCCCGGGCACCGGGTACAGGCTGTCCCCCGGGCCGGGTAGGGCGGGTCCCAGGCCCGCCTGCATCTCCTCTGCAGGGATGACTACGAGGTGAGCTGCCCGGAGCTGGACCAGCTGGTGCAGGCCGCTCTGTCTGCGCCCGGGGTTTATGGCAGCCGCATGACGGGCGGCGGCTTTGGTGGCTGCACGGTGACTTTGCTCGAGGCCTCCGCGGCCCCCCAGGCCATGCAGCACATCCAGGTGGGTGGACGCTGGGGCCGGGGCGAGGCGGGAAGCAGGTTCCCAGGGCCCCACCCCCGAACTCAGGCCTCTGCCTCTCCCACAGGCGCAGTATAGCGGTACTGCCACCTTCTACCTCTCCCAGGCCGCCGACGGTGCCCAGGTGTTGCCCTTGTGAGCTCCCCCGGGGTGGCCCACGCGGGCAGGGGCCTGCCGGACAGCAAGCAGGAAGCTCCGTGCCGCTGGCGCCTGCCCTCCACACCTGGGCGCTCAATAAACTTGTGCCTCAGACCACAGTACCTCTAGAGGTGGTGTGTGCTTGGCCAGCAGAGAAGGGGTGTCGGACCCGCTCCCCGGCTCTGGGCAGGCCCCGGAAGACTGGGCACGGCGGAGCCACACGGTAGCGAACTCTTTTATTAAGTGCGGAACAAAGCTGGGTGCTTGTCATGCTGGTCCCGGCTCTTTGGTTACAAATGCGCTTGGGTGGGATGGGGGTGGGGCAGCCAGAAGGGCCTTCTGGGACCTCTGCCTCCTACATGCCCCCCAGAGGGCACCTACCCCCGGAGGCTCTGGTCCTGTGATCAGCATGCGGGTGGGTGAGGCCACCAGGGGTCCAAGGATGGTATAGCTGAGGCAGCACCGGGGAGGGGGGGGCGGGCAGTGGGGCCCAGGTTCAAGGACGCCTGGTCGCGGAGGGGAGCTCAGGTCTGGAAGAACTGCTGTTCGACCTGGCTGCTGAGGGTCCCACTGGTGGTCAGCGTCTGGCTCACAAACTCCTGGGTCACATGCCGGGTGAGGGAGCCGCCTGCCTCCAGGCCCCGGGGCCCCAGGGTTAGTCCGTCTGCAGGGGAAGAGGTGTTGAGCGACCTGTCTAGTTCCCTGCCCTCTTTGTCTGTTAGCTCTGTCTCCCCCAGGAGAGCCTGGTGCCCCCACCCAGCCACTCACCCAGCAGGAAGGGCTCGGCGGTGCCGGTGTGGGTGGTGGTGATGCTGCTGTACTCGCCTGGCAGTGGGTGCTGGTAGAGCCCCGAGAGGCCACCCAGCTGTGGGAAGGGGCCTGGAGGGGACAGATGAGCCCCTCAGGGGATGGTGCCAGAAGGTGCGGTCAGAGAAAGGATGGGGGTGCGAAGGGGCAAGGTGCCCTACCTCCATCCTGGGACTCAATGGTGATGATACCCTCACGCTCCGGCCCGAAGCCCTGAGTGGTCCTGGCCTGCACCTTGAACTTGTAGGGCACGTTTTCCCGAAGGCCTGGCACCGTCAGCCTGCTCTCAGTGCTGTCGCCATCCACCTGGAATGTAATGGCTGGCTCTGGGCCGGGGAGAAGTCTTTAGCCTCCGTGGCTCCCTCTCCACCATCCCTCGGCCACCCCTGACCCTGGGGCGAGCAGCACCTCCTCCGTGGGCCATCTCACACGTGACCATGTAGCCCAGGATGTCTCCGTCAGGCCTGCGCGGCCGCTCCCAGCTCAGCTGCAGCGAGTCTGGGCTCAGGGCCGTGAACACCAGTGGGCCCGGGGCGCTGGGCGTGCTCAGGGTGAAGGCGGAGCCTGGGGCAGCAGAGGGAGAGGCAATGTGTGGATCTAGCACATCTGTAGAAACAGGTAGGGGGTGGGGGCAGCTGGCGGGGTGGAGGGGGAGCAACTCACCTGGCAGGGGTAACAGTGGGCTCTGAGGGTACACCTGCGACTCAATGGTGATGACACCCTCGCGCTCCGGGCCCCAGCCTTCCTGGCTCTGGGCCCGCACGCGGAACACGTAGGAGTGGTTGGGCAGAAGGTCTTCCACCACCACGGAAGTCTGCCCGGGGTTGGGGATGTTGAGCCGATGCAGCTCACCTGGAGAGGGGTGGGGTGGGAGCAGCTTTATTCCTACTCCTGGCCTGGTCCTCCCCCCGGGCTGCTGCCAAGACCTGGCCAGCCCCCACCCCGGAACAGCTGGTTGGGACCAGCCTGCTACGGTCTCATGGGTCAGGTTGCCGCCACACAAGGGAAGAGGGGGCCTGAGCTCCTATGGCCCAGGTCATGCTGCTGAGCGTTCGTCGGCCCAGAAAAGTGCCGGTTCCCGCAAAGGCATCTAGGCCAGCAGAGAGCCTGGGTCCTGGGGCCAATGGGCCTCGTTAGGCAACGTCTTGCCCCGGGAGTAACCTGGGGAGCCCCGGGAGGTGGTTGAGGGCCCAGAAGGGCCCCGTGCGGGGCATGGAAGTGAGACCCTCTCAGGCTGGGTGGTGGGTTCCTGCCACAGCCCAGGGCCCCTGGTGTCCCATGTGGCCGGGCCTCACCGCCGTTCAGCAGCTGGTACTCCACGCTGTAGCCCTGCAGCGCCCGCTCGCACTGCGGCTCTTGCCAGCTCACTTTCAGAGACGTGGGCCCCAGGGCTGAGAACACCAGGCGGGTGGGGGTGTTGGGCAAACCTGCAGCCAAGCGGGAACCTGGAGACAGGAGGCCACAGTCAGCCTAGCTCAGGGTCCCTGGGCAGGAGTCCAAGTTCAGCTCCTGACCTCCCTCAGCTGTCGCACCTACATGACGGCCGGCCAGGTGGCTCGCTCACCCGGCAACAGCCTGTCCAGGCCACCCAGCACCTCCCGCCTGTCCTCTGGGTGGGTGTGGGCCCTGCCTGTGCCAAGCGCCGTGAGCCCCCACCCTCGGCTGGCCTGGCCCGTCCTGCCCCAGCCCGGCACCCCTGGAAAGGCAAGGCGGTTAGGCATCAGCGCTGATGAGGATGGAGTGGAGGGAATGCAGGGTCATGGGCAGTGACTGCAATGGTGTGGATGACAGATGGAGCAGGACAGCCATGGAGATACGATGGCCACGCTGGACTACCTGGGTCCCAAGGGGGCGCTGCTGGCTGCGCAGCCAGGATTATAGAGTCTGGTGAGTCCCTGGAAGGGGGGAACCCCTTCATCTGAGCCCGACTCCAGGACCCCAAGGTCCAAGACAGCGGAAGCCTGCTCCTCCCGTCTTCCCAGATGGGAGGGAGGCCTAGGGTGGGACAAAACAGGAGTGAGGGCCAGGAAGTATGTGTGTGTTGGAGGACGGGCGGGGGGACAGCAGGCCGGCAGCCCAAACCTCCAGGAGCCGGAAGAAAGGAGGGGTCAGCCCGGCCGGCGTGGCTCAGTGGTTGAGCATCAACCTATGGACCAGGAGGTCACGGTTCGATTCCCAGTCAGGGCACAGGCCCGGGTTGCGGGCTTGATCCCCAGTGTGGGGCGTGCAGGAGGCAGCCGATCAATGATTCTCTCTCATCATTGATGTTTCTATCTCTTTCTCCCTCTCCTTCTCTAAAATCAGTTTAAAAACTTTTTTTAAATTTAAAATAATATATATATGAAAAAAGAAAGACAGAGGGGTCAGCGGGAGCGGCAGGGCTGGCGGTGCACTCACTCTGCGAGGAGAGGGAGGTGAGGGTGGAGTAGTCCCTGGGCAGCGTGCCCGAGTGCTCCGTGCGGGTCAGCGAGTGGTAGTCCCTTGTGAGGGTGGAGGAGGTGCTCAGCACGCGGTGGGGCAGGTGCGGGCTCAGGTGGGTGCCGTAGGAGGCGTTGGTCGTGGCCATCCTGTGCAGGGAGTTGGCGCTGCCCGGGAAGGCAAAGTCCATCCGCCCATTGACCAGGTGCTCTGCGGGGGAGAACAGGGTCACCGGGGCAGGCCAGCACCGGGGAGCCCTGGGCGTTCCGGGACTGCCTGTCCACTAGAGGCCCCCCTGGGCCTACGAGGGACAGAGGCCCGGTGTCCCTGGAGGAGTCCAAGGGGCCACACGGGCTTCTGCAGCCCGAGTTCTCTGGCCAGGCACCCGGCCAGGCACCGTGCCACTAGGACAAGCTGAGCCCTGCTGACCAGTGGAGACGCGCTGCCCAAATGCCTGCCCTTAGGGGTGCTCCGGCTCCGGGGGACAGGGAGGACGGTCTGCCTCCAGCCCTCGCTCAGCCCCTGGCAGGGGCGGGGCCTTGGTGGGCAGCTGGGCCGCAGCGAGCCCAG